TCGTTTGCAAGGCTGCCTGCCAGATCAGGAATAAAAACTGCACTGTTATAAGGCATTCTTTCACATTGCAAAACTTCTCTTCAGGACATCGCCACAAACCAGGTAGAGTGTTTCATTATACTTGTCTGCATGCTTCAGATGTTCCATTTTCAGAGCTGGGTAGATTACTTAGAAATTGTAATCCGTTACTGATTCCTAACTACATGAATATTGTAGTTAGTAACGAACCGATTACATTACAGATTTTAGGTAATGTAATCAGACTACTTTTTGATTACGTTTTACCTAAGTCGTTTATCACATTGATTTAAATACAATGATCTCATACCATATTGATATAAAAATACAAAGAGTAAGAAAATATATTCTATTCATTGTAATTAATAACAGGAAGTGCATTAAACATTGTTACTTCAAGGTTTCCCAAACTGGGGTTTGTAAATGAACTGCAGGGGCTTCATGAGTTTAATGAAAAGCTAATAATGAATTAAATCATTAAAATGGAAAATCAAAATAAGTCATTTTAGAATTAACATCAATCAAAATAAAACACTTAATAAAAAATCAAATACTTAATTTGTTTATCTACATGTCACGTGAGCATTAACCAACAGAGAATCGTGAACATGCAAATGTGATAATTATTAAAATATTTGTTTTTAAATCTCAGGGTACTTGAAGTAAATATGTATTAGTTGAAAGATGTTCAGATGACAAAAAAAGTTTTGGAATGCCTGCATTACATGTAAATAAGAAATCATGTGAATTTGTGTATTTTTAAATTGTGCATTCTTTGTGTGAATGTCCACATAACTGGAAGACTTTCTTAGTGTATATAAGCAGTAGGCTATTTTAGAAAGGAACATTTTGAAATTTTATGAATAATGTATTGCTATTGTGTGAATAATATGTCATCGATAAAAAAGCAACTGTTGTCTGATTACAGTATTTTAAAATGTAATTTAATCAAATTACAAGTACTTAACTTTTGGAATCGGATTATGTAATCCAGATTACATGTAATCAGTTACTACCCATCTCGGTCCATTTTGCAGTTTAGTCAATGGACATATTAAAATAGAGAATAGAGACTATTGCACAGTGTCATTCAAAACAATGCACACGTGTGAACAATGCAATGAGTTGTTACACAGTTATAAATTTAAACACATTTGTGCAAATCACTAAATTGCTTGCACTGTGCAACCTATTTAGCCATTGGTATGCAAAAGTGTAATCTCAGATGAATAGCCTTTACATAACACATCTATTTAGTATACATGTCAGGGACATATATTTGTGTTAGTTACATGATCGGTGTACTCTTAGTACCTTTAGTCTCTCTCGTTCCCACTGTGAACTTTTACAACTGTACATGTGTTCAGCTGAGATTGTGTAGTAGTGCCAGGTCAATGTGCAATGATTCTCTCAGATAGGGTAAAGGAGGCAGCCCCTGCAAGTGCCAGAGGAGAGAAACAATAAATAAATAAAATCAAAAATAAGATAGCGATATTAGTTTGTAATCATATATGGTATGGGTATAATACTTATATTACACTAACTATACAATGTTATCAAAAACATATTATACACTGCCTTCTTTCTGAAATCATACTAATATGTCCATTTATTACATCTTATAAAATAGCAAATTAACTTTTGAATAAGTAAAAAAATAAAAATACATAAAAAATTATATTATATATATATATATATATATATATATTAATTAATTAATTTATCAAACAACATTGGACTCACATTGGTTTCTAAGTTATAAGCACAAGCAATTTTCCATTAGCCAAATTTTGATTATGACTGACAAATCAAACATATATTTTCAGACAATGTTGCTGCATCCCCAAATCTTTGTCCTTGTTGTCTTCCTTTGGAGTGTCCCACCACTTTCCCTGGCTGGGAAGATCCTGGTGTACCCAGTGGATGGAAGCCACTGGCTTAACATGGACATTTTGCTACGAGAGCTTCATCAGCGAGGCCACAAACTGACAGTTGTCCGTTCTGCCAACAGCTGGTACATCCCAGAGAACACCACACACTATACACCCATCACCATCCATGTCGATCATCTCTCCAGCCTGGAGGACCCCGAGTACATGGCATCCTTTCTTAAGAGAAACATTGCCATTCAAAGAGGGGAAGGATCTGTTTGGTCATTCATGGCCCTGCAGAAAGAAGTAATTACTCTTTTAGAAGAGTCTCACAAGTCTTCTGCTGAGATGGTGAGGACCATTCTAGAGGATAATAAGCTTGTTAAAACACTCAAAGAGTCCAAGTATGATTTGATGCTAACTGATCCTGGTTTTGCAGGAGGGGTCATATTGGGCACGTACTTGGGTTTACCAATGGTGTACAATGTACGATGGATAACAAATGCAGAAGGACACTTTGCAATTGCACCCTCACCGCTTTCTTACATCCCAACTATTGGATCTAGGGTGACAGATAAAATGAGCTTTGCAAATAAAATGAAGAATTTCTTGCATTATGGAATCGGCCAATACATAGACCACTTGCTCACAAGGCCTCTTTATCAAGGAGTTATCAGCGAACACATAGACCCAAACACCAATGTGTACTCTCTGATCCAGGGAGCAGATCTGTGGCTCATGAGAGTCGATTTTGTATTCGAGTTTCCTCGTCCTACTATGCCCAATGTGGTCTACATTGGAGGCTTCCAGTGCAAACCATTCAATCCTCTACCAAATGAATTGGAGAAGTTTGTCGAGAGTTCTGGAGAGCGCGGGGTGGTGATCATGTCTTTAGGTACTCTGCTTGGAAGTCTGGTTCCTGACATATCCGAAGTCGTCGCCTCCGCCTTTGCTCGCTTGCCACAAAAGGTGATTTGGAGGCACGTAGGAGAAAAGCCATCTACGTTAGGGAACAATACACTGATAGTGGACTGGCTGCCTCAAAACGACCTCTTAGGCCATCCTAAAACAAAAGCTTTCGTCACCCACGGAGGAACGAATGGAATCTACGAGGCGATTTACCACGGCGTTCCGATGCTTGGACTTCCGCTCATCTTCGACCAATTTGACAACATGATTCGCCTGGAAGCCCGAGGGGTGGCTCAAGTGCTTGACGTCGCAGCCCTGGATGTAGATAC